GCACACAAACCAAGATAGAGGGTCCCACATCTTTTTATTTCTCTCTATTATTCACACTTTTTATCCAAAAAACGCGACGTAACTTTACATATTTAGCATTTTTTTTTTCGAAAAGCTTACGCTAGATGATGATTCACGCTTTTTACGCTACCTTGCGCTATTTCACGCTATTTTGTGCTACATTATGCTATATTTATGAAACGATATTTAAACAAAAAAACTTGTATTTTTTTAGGGATTAGAGTTATATTTTATGACAACTAAAAATTAAAAATTTTGATAATTATTTCAAATTAAAAGTTTGAAAATGCAAAGTCTCAAATTGAATAGTGCAATATATATCGGTTTAGGTCTATTATACTATTATATTTTTGAATATTTGACATTTAAATTTAAGAATAAAAAGTTCAGATTTAGTGGTTAGAATTGTAATTAAATTAAAAGGATTAATTACAATGTATATGCTTAATTCGAATTATGACTTATCTTCTTATATTTTCGTGGTTTGCTTTTACTTTTTAGTACATTTGCTCTATTATTTAAATTTTTGTATTATGATATTTACATTTAACATTTAACATTTGTAAGAAATAATTCTTATATGTTCTTTTGAGTTCATTCAAATATTATGATAATTTTTTTAATCAACCATTCAGTTTTATTATATATGCAAGTATATACATATATATAATATTTCTATACAAATATTTTTTTTTTTATATTTAAATAGTTTACGCAACACGCAACGCTATTTACGTTACGCAATATAAAGACCAAAATGCTGACAGCATTACTAATGTTTTCTCCAAGGTTTCTTACATGGGTATAAAAGCCAAATATATATATATATATATATATATATATATATAAAAAAGTGTGTAATATGTGCTCCAAAAGTCTTCCATATAATTAATAATAAACAAGTGGAAAAAGTCTATGAAAACAATAGAAAAAAAGAAGTATCTGAGATTATCTGATCACATCCTCACCAAACCCATATTAGAAAATAAGGTAAAGAAAAGAATCTTCATAATCTTCAAATAATTCATTCATGACTCACTCACTTATCATTCTTCAAATAAAAAGAGACCAATCAACAAAACCCTGTCTCTGAAGTCATCTATAGAGAGAGAGAGAGAGAGAGAGAGAGAGAGAGAGAGAGAGAGAGAGAGAGAGAGAGAGAGAGAGAGAGAAGCATGGATGGATTAATTCCCATGGTATTGAAGTCCATAAAGAAGAAGAAGACCCGCAGCAAGTACCAATGCCTGTCTGCACCACCAATAACTCACACATACAGCATTGAAGATTTCTACATGAGCCAGAACGTGGGCCAGGGCCCGAATAGTATTTCGGGCTTCCGTGGGGCCCATTACCGGAGGTACAGCTCGGCCCACGTAGCGGGCCACGGTGGTGAGGATGATCATCAGTTTGCTGCTGATTCGAATAAGCCCAAGAAGCTTGTGAGGTTTAGGAGTCACAGGTTGTTTTCTTGTGTCAGTGGTGCTGCTGCTTAAAGCATTAAAGCTTCACTTTTATTCTGTTCTTTCTTTCTTTCTTTCATGCCCCTGATGTTGGGGTGAAATGTGTGTGGACAAAAAGAAAAAGGACTTGTTCACAAATTACATGTTATTCCAATCCAAAGTTGTGTATGTTAATTGCAAATCAAAACTAATGGAGGTTGTTGTTGTTATGCATGGTGGCATCTCATCACAAAAGAGAGATCATTTGAACTCATATAATGAGGGTTAAGGAGTCTTTTCGTCTTGCTTTATTTCTTCGCGAGTCGGGTCGAGATCATTTGAAACTCTCATTTATGTGTTGTTCAGTACAGTTTTTATGCTTTTGTTCTGTTTTGTCATGCATTCCGTTCCGAGAGTGTGAGGAAATGTGCGAGCACTAGAATCGGAGTTCACAGCTGCTTGTTGTGATTCTCATGAACTCATTATATGCATTTGAGGTCTCTATCTTTCTTTTGTTTGTAAAGCACATGATTCGAATTGTCCTCCGATTTTTAGTGTTTTTGATTGATTCGAAATTCTGAAGAACTTTCTTTCTGTGTTCGTTTGACGAAACTGCTTGCTTTGTGTGTACGAACCAACAGTTTGATAAAATTATAAGAAGCTCGAACTTGATCAATATATGTTTAAGCTAAGAAGAAGAAGAAGAAAAGAAAATAAACAACACAACACAGAAAGTAAGTCAAAAAGAAGTGCACTATCAGATTCGCCGGCAATAGAACCCGCAAATACAACTTACACGAATGCAGCATCTATACCTCTATAGTATACCACCCAAGAAATGTAATCACAGTCGCACGATGGGAATAATCAATCTATCCATCTTAATCCGACTAACCAAACTCACAACAAACAAATTACCTCACAACAGTTAGCCTTCTACACAACCTCTGCACCATCCTTGGTGCCATCTTTCTTCTTCGATTTCTTTTTTCCTTCATGCCCGCAAAACAAGTCTTCGATATATTCCTCGATATCCTCAGCCTGGTACTTAACGTACTTGTGTGTCTGCCTCCCGGGCTTAAAAACCTGACTGAACCTCCCTAGAAACGACCTGTAAGTAATCAAACAGTGCCATAAAACAAAACATGCCAAACCAAACACAATATTTGTCGACATTTCCAAAAAAAAATAAATACCTATAAGCTGGCACAACCATGTTTGAAATCGCGACCCTGAGCTCGGACTGGAGCTGCTCGTCGCTCACGACCCAATTGCTCTGCGTCTTGTGAATCTCGTCGAACATTGAATTAAAACTCTTCAAACGTTCTTTCAGAATGGGCTTAACAGGCTTTCCGTTTGCAGGGGAGGTGAGCCCGTCCGGGTTGAGGCAACCGAGCAGCTTCCCCCAAGTCTCCCGCTGGTACTCCTTATGGTACAGCCTCAAATCGGAGGATCTTTTCCTGCACCATGTGTCCTCCATCAGGGCCTTCATCCCGTCCGAATCCTTCACCTGCTGCAGAATGTAGCGGCGGTTGTTCATCATGAATATGTAACCGAGCGCTTGGTCTTTGTACAGCCTGGATCGGGCCTCGAGGTTAGAGTCGAGCATGTCCATCACGCTGGACACCATGGTTAAGACCTGGTCGTTTTCGTCGTTGAGTTTGTTTGGCTCGGTTGGGCCCATTTGCAAGCACGCGTGGTGCAGCTGGTCCATGACGAGTCGGGTGAGGGGGTGGACTCTGCCGGACTCGGTGGGGGTCTTGGGCGGGTCGGCCCGGATAGCATGCTCAAGGTCGGTTAGGATGGAGATTATGGGACGGTCGGATTCCGGCGGGTCGTGGGTCGAGGACTCGTACATTGTTTGGTTAGAGCAAAGGGGAGTAAGGGGGAAATGGAGGAGGAGAATGGGTAGACAATTAAGGTGACAAAGGCTGGCTGGCTGGCTGCTGCAGAATAATAGTTCATGTTTTTAAGGATCACCATTTGTGTGTCTTTAATTAGGATTATGATGTATGCTTTAATTAGGATACCAATTTAGTTAACAATTTGTGCTTTTTTTTATTTTGGGAAAATAAGAAAATACACAATCCTGTTTAATTTATTTATTTTAATAAACTTGAGTTAGCTATCAATTCAAGTCAGGTTTTTTAATTGTAAATTTTTGTATACTTTTTGTAACTGTGTGGCTTGCCTGCGTAGTTGTTTAGACAGTCTATGGCAACATCCCTTAAGAAAGCATTAATGGTGTTAATTTTTTATGGCATTCAAATTTGATGATTTAAATCTTTGATAGATAGTTGGTCAAATCTGAGTGATTAAAGTCTAGTTAAAGCATACATTGGTTCAAAATTCAAAACATAAGCAAACATATTTGTGGAGTCACCAAAAGGGGTAAATGGGAAACCACTATTAAAAAAACATACCCATTATATTACCAACTGGTTGGGGTCTAAAAGGTCAGTTGTACGCAGACCTTATCCTTGTAATTATACAAGGAGGCTGTTTCTGTAGCGACCCAAGGTGCATTGCATCGTTTGATATGTTTTTTTTTTCTAGAAACTTCACTAATAGAAGAAACACTAGAATTTAATTGAGTCGTTTTGATCTAGTCCATTATTAACACTATGCCAAGAGAATTGTCAACAATAACTCTTCCGGCTCCAATTGCAACGGACAAAATGAAAAACTACTATTGATCCTCTTAAAACATATTTGTGAAGTTCAGGATCGAGCTCGAACTTCATATAATTTTTATATCATGTCGTTGAATGGTGCACTCATAGCCAGCACAACACAGACTTGAAAACAGAAAATGAATCGAGAACATGTTTGCCGAGAGAAATTATCAACAGCATTTGCATACATGACCGATGAATCGAGATGAACAATACAATTATGAGATAGCCTGGGCAAAAACAAAAATCACACTCCGCCATGAACAAAAAAAGTTGAAATTCAGTTCATCAAACCCTGTGACCTTGCATCTGTCTTACATAGACTTTTCTCGTTTTTTTAGTTCTTTTTTTCTCCCTTTTGTTTGGTTATAACTTTTGCAGGTTCTCTTCAACAAGTTCAATGCAGCGGTACAAAACCAACTGAATAGGATTTAAAGCACACATCATATCACACGCCAATAGGTCGTCGTGATCTTTCTGGCTTTCGGCTGCAGTAAAGGTCACTAACGTGCGTAGTGGAAGAAGCCATTCATTGTAAGCCTTGTGCAAATTTTCCTTGGATACTATCCCAGTGTAGTTTGAGTTTCCTGTTGCACATACTTGATCACATCACAGAATAGGCAAAACTTAAAATTCAAAATCCAACTGAATCATTATCACACTCGACGAAAAGACGCAGGAAAGCAATCACAGTAACCAAGGAAGGAGCAAATAACGAGATGAATAGAAAATGGAAATAAGTACCATAAAACCCTTCCGGATTAAACATCAAAGTTCAACATTTAGGCCTTCCTTAAATTGGGCTCAATACTTTAAACCAACAAATTCACAATTTCATCCATATTTGGATTGAGTTTGACCTCTAATTCCAGTTAACTGAAATTTTTTTTTCTTCATCGAATTTAAAAAATCCTGTTTTTTAATGATGAAACACGCAAACGTCCGAATTTGAAATACCTTTTATATTTTCTCATACAATTCCAAACTTTTCTTTTCCTTGTAAATATTACTGCTCAAATCACATTATATTATTACAGGTCAAAACAACTATGATAACAGAATAACAGTCAAATGTGGGATATTCAAATTAAAACTAGCAGAATCGTCACTTCATATTTCTGAAGTAATAATCATGTATAATAGATTAGTGCTTTTTCGATACTTTTCTGCAGGTGGAGGGCTCCTATTCAAGGTCTTCCGACTAGTTACTTAGAGAGAACTTGACAAAATATTTGGATATGACATCAAATATGATATTTGAATGTGTAGATATACAGTGTGGCCACATTATCCTCTAGCAAAAATAGAAATATAAACAACCACCAGAGCTCAGAAGCATCAATCAACCAAATGAGGTGCATCTATGGATCGAGTACTTGCCTGTTGACTCTGTAATGAGAATATATCTGAAGAGATTAAGGGCCGATAAAATCTGCCGCAAAATAATATCATAGTGTTAACTAGGAATATGTGTGCACAAAAAAGCAACAATCAATTAACCAAAACCCATATCGCTAAATTTGGCAGGCATACAGAAACATGCATATATATCTAATTTATTCTAACTATTAAAATGTAATCACAAGTCATGTGAGTTAAGATATCCCGATTTATCAAATAAAAAAATGAAAAAAAAAAAGAATGTGAATATTTAAAAACTCTTAACCTCAAACAACGGTCAAAGCGATCGATAAAACATAAAAGAATCAGGACATTACAAGAATATAAAACTACAACGTCCATCTAAATCATTTATAAGGCTAAAGGGTGCATTCGTCAGCACAAATATAGGAGCCTCAACAAGAATATTACTTGCAACTGTTAACCAGCTAAATGAACTTTCTATATAGGAAAGCTCCACAAAGTTGCTCAACTTTGGGTATCCACGGCATTATATTCATTGATTGTCTAAAGGAGTATACAATTCATGAATAATCAGAAGTGTCTATTTCAGTTTAAACACGTGCAGGAGGATCTATCCACAAAACATGGTCTATCTCTTAGCTAAATATGGAAAACATGAAATACAACAATTCTGGGTCCATGTAAAAATTACAACAGACTAGTAAGGACAATAATATGGTTAGCCACATATTGCGATGCAAATTAACATCAGTATAACAATCAACATGACCTCTCGCCTACGATATATAGAAACAAAACTACAAGGATAATACACGAAAGTATGCACATATAAGAAAACTAAACAGACAAATATCTTCAGTTGAACGATTTGATACGTATGCTTCATGTGTGTTTGTGTGTGTGAGTTGGTGAGTGTGCGTTAAAAGGAGAGAAATTGAATGTACAGTACTTCTGGTATGTCAATTCTTGCGTATATAAGGGGTAGAATGCACCAATGGAAGACAAGAAGGGATAGATCCATAGAAATATATCACACATATGCAGACAAAGAGAAAGGAAGAGAGAAAATTACTGCATCACTGTACTCTGGAAAAGGAGGAGGCCCGCCCACTGGAGGCCTTAGTACCTCTTCCACCAATTCAAGCACAGATGGATTCCAAAGCAATGTGGATCTAGTAATATCAACGTTCGGGACGGCATTTGCTGATAAGTCTCTTTCAAATTTTCCCATGTGCATTTCATCTTTGACACAATTTAGAAGTATTCCAATCTGCACAATCAGGTAATAGGTAAAATCAACACTATACCCTACATTCTAAGAGGCTACACTTTGCCTTTGCATCAAAGTATTCAGGGTTTACCATAGACGGTGAGTCACTATTCTTTATCAAAGCCCTTAAGATATCCATCCTCTCGGATGTTGGAATGTCTGCAAGTACCTGATTTGAGAAACGATGAACTTTAAACATCTCAAGGAAAAATTGTAACAATTTTAACTTTTAAGAATTGAGGGCAAAGTAAGAATGTATAGACATGCTTATGTGGGCATGCTGTAACAATTTCAGCAAATCATTATGTGCTTGTTTGGAAGCATTTTTCAAATCTAAGCCCTTTCCCATGATTGTAGTGTTTGCCTGTTTGGTGGTTATTTTAGATTTTTGAACGGACAAACCCCTTCAAAAAGTTCTCCATCATAGATTAATTAGATGTAGGTGTTTTAAAATTCACTACTAAGTCAACATTTTGTTTTTATTGTAAATGACTTTCTGACTGCTACAAAATTTGCACCATTCTTCTAGGAATTTTTTTTTTCTTTGGTTTTTGTTTGTTCAGTCAAGATTTCGTTCATTGAAACTGTGAAAAAAAAATCAAACAAATAATATTCATTTCATCTCCCTTTCTTCTTTACAAACTCACTAACACAATTATAAAATAAAAAGTAACCATCATTATATTTTTTTCATTAAAAAAAAAAATCATTCAGTCATAATTTCTAACTACCAATCTATCCCATCAATACTCTTTTATTTTTATAACTTTATATCACATCAACTTTAATCATTACGTTTTTATCTTATAGCATCACAACCTCAAGTTTGTATCACTTTCTAAAAACAACTTCTCCACTTTTCCATCTCTATATTCGGACAACGACAACAATAACACGCCGTTAAAATCCCACAAACTGGGGTCAGCTATATGGATCACATGTCGTCATCGTGCTCGATCAAAACACATATCCTCATTCAAATTTAAAAGTTTTAAGACATTTAGTATTGTTTCCTTCCAAGTTTTCTTAGGTCCACCCCTCCCCCTTTTCATTTGCGTTCTTAGTTCTAATGTTTCTACCCTTCTCACCGAAGCCTCGAAGTCTCCTATGCACATGCCCAAACTATCTTAATCGTGATTCTCTCATTTTCTCCTCTATGGGCGCTACTCCAACTTTAATTCTAATACTTTCATTTCTAATCTTATCTAACCTAGTATGCCCACACATCCATTTCTATAATCGGACTAGACAAAAAATTTCGAAATCATCTTATATCTATTCGCAACCTGAGTATCCTCAAATTAGTTCACGTACTCCCAGTTAAGTCGCTTTTCAACATCTTATGATCCACTTTTCACATAATTTAACTCGTACGCTGGTGGTTTGAGAAAAAAGTTATGTTCACGGTCTTGAATTGGTGACCGTACCGATCAATAATCTTCAAATGGTTGAAATAGGTTGCATCTTTATTAACCAAATTTATCCAACACGGCGTCAAACCCCTCTTATTTTATGGGGCTCCGTACACTACAATCCACATAGAACATATAGGCGAGCAATTGGATTACTAATAAGAAAACCAAGAGCATCAATGAACGAAACTACAACAGAAATCGTAATATACCACTGATATAGTTTCCACACTGAAAAGAGTAAGCTCGCAATTTTGAAGCATTTACAGGAGATATTACCTTTTTAAATGCACTAAATGCATTTTTCCTCAGTGCGGAACCTGGAGCATACATGATGACCATCTGAATAGCCTACACGTGACAAGTTATATAGTTATTAGGTAAAACTATTTCGAAAAACCACAAAGTAAGACCCATAAAACAGTAGCCAATTACTTGCAAACTGGTACAAAAAGTTGGTATATGCATTGAGAAGTCCACATCTTCATCTTCTGAGTTTGATACAATGCCATCCATGATGCTTAAAAGGAATGTCATACTGTCCTGCTTCAATTCCCAAGACAAATTGGCACATAAAAATATGTACCTCAACATGCCTATTGCTTCCCATCTTCTACGCCAGTTACTTTGAAGTTCCACAGTGACAGCTGCCAAATCAGCTCTGGCAGCTGCAGCAACTTTACTAGCCTTGTAACCCCACATTACTGGATATTATTGCAAAGAGTAAGAATAAATAAATATGTTCAGCGTAGTACTTACAGCTCACCATGAACTAAGAATTGCAAGCTGGTATTAGGAACCTGCAACTGCTGCTCCAAGCTTGCCTTGAGAAAAGCAATCCATAGCATCCACTATATCATCCGTAATTTCTGGAAGAAACAGTGTTGCAAACAGATTACCTCTTCAAATGCACCGACTGAAAAAATGGCTCATGAAATGCAAGTAGCTCATGACATGCAAGTAGCGGAACATACCTCCCACAACTAGCTTATTGATTGTATCTACCTCAAATCCTGTTATTAAACCAATGTAAGACAATTCACAATACTGAAGAGTGTCAGACAACTCCAGCACCACAGGAAGACATCTTGATATGTCACTTGACATTCCAACTGAAACAAGAACCTGGACATCAAGGATGTATGACTATCACAACACTGAATGCAATAAGTCTCATGAAAAAGCTTGAGAAATCCAAAACTAGAGTATCACTTCAACAACAATATTTCACCATGATCTCCAAGACATATAGGCCTAATATAGCATTGAGTTTCTTGCTGTCCCTGTCTTCCTGACACAGGAAGTAAAAATGACGTGAGAATCTAGTGGAGCACAGAATCAAACTAGTAAGCATGATGTGAGAAGTTACGAACCAACTTTGCAAATATTGCTCTAATAGAGCAGGCAATGCCAGCTGCTTTATGGAACACCTTCTCATAATCTGTATCCTCATAGTCTGGCTCCGAACAAATAATCCTCAATACATTAAGAACGACCGGAACTGTAGTTTTTACATGCTCATAGTGCCGCCTCTGTATTAGAGCAAGTACTGATACCACAAACACATGCATAGATAATCATAAAACAGAGGATTGGTATCAAGAAACACGCACTGATAAAAAGTATATTAAAATTATTGATAGAAACATAACTAGCACAAAATTTCTCATTTAGGAGAAAATAATCAGCCAAGCATTAGAAGCCCAACTGAGGATAAGGGCAGGAAACTTGTCAGTAACTCATCTTTTAGGGAAATGAAATGCCTGAGCATAGAAACTAACAGTTACAGATTTAGCAATTATCAAATGCAACTGCAATTCCCTTAGTCATAAACATTTATTCACTAGAATAAATTTGACTTAATTGTTAAAACAATTTCTGAAAATGCTGGGATACAGAATAGAACTAGTAACATCGTGAACCATCTTCACACAAGGAGAACAAAAAACAAATAACTACACATGTATGCATGATGCATATATATACCTTTCATGAGCCCATTAAGAAGAGGTACAAAATAGCCAGGGACCATGAAGTGCTCACTTGGAGAACCTATTGCCTGAGAATTTCAAAACGAGCTGATATAGAACTACGACAGAGTGGAAAGACAAATGCCAATCGGAAGCTGACAACAAATGGCTATTAAAACACATTCCCAGCTTTGATTTGAGAAAAGTAACAAAAAATGCATTTTAGATTGTATCTATTATGGAGAATGTGATCAACTAAAGATATACAAGAGCTACGACTTTGTCCGACATGTCGATAAAGACTGCATAAACTTTATCGTGCCAGAAATTATTTGATTGTTATGTGAATTTCTTAAATATTTTGCATTTAACCAATATATTGAAATTGCAGTTTAGGAAACTACGATTAAGGGAATATAGATTATCAAGCATTATAATATAGAATATAACTCCTAATTTCAACTCTATAAGAGATAAGGATGACGGGAACATCGATATTATTAATTGAAAAAATAACTGCGAACAACTCGGAATGAATCCCACCCACCCTAAGGGCGATTCTTTGGGAAGAAAATTTCCCGCCCAAGCTTAAAGCGGACAATACTACTCAACGAAGATAACGTAATTTAACTCAATGTCTACTCTCAACCATACACGTAACTCAAATGGGTTTTCTACCCCAACGGATCTAAAGCCCAATTATTCAATTAAATAAAATAGCAATTCAATCTCTAAGATTAACTGTATGGTCATCCTCATCTTATATGAATAGTCTTACACCTATATTTACACAAACACTCTATCTGCGCATGTTAATAGGTTACAGAACCACAAAACATTTACACTAGCTTGAGGATACTTGGAAAAGAATTGCCAGTTTTGTTCAGAGTTTTCACCAAATTCAAGTATTTACGCTTGGAAAAATCTATTAACAGTTTATACAGAACACGTCAAGTGAAAACCCAGAGAGACTGTCAAATAGCACAAGGGGCAATAATGCTTTCATGACGCCACATTTTACTTCAATCAAATAGTAAACCTCCCGGTCCATCTCAAATGCTATTAATCGCATTACAATGAAGAACCAACATATACAAACTATATACCTCACAAATAATTGAAAGCATGTCACGAGGGCTACATCTGCTGACAAACAAATCAACTACGCCTTCGGCAACTTCCGAACACCTTGTCGATACACAGGCAAATCTCGCTGCGGCCTTCGGCAACTCAAATGCCAATGCATCAACAATGTCCTGAAAAGCATTTTTCACTCCACTTATCCAACATGAATCAAAATATAACAAAATCAACCAAAAATCATAATTAATATATATTGATGAGAAAAAAAAGGAAAACTAACTCAGAAAAGCTCAATAGATGAAATCCGTGTATCATGCCTGTTTAACCTCCGGTGAGGCCATGTATTGATGGATTTGGGTGAGGATTTCAATCGCGGTTTTTTCAGAAGCATCATTCTGACGTCCTTCGGATATTAGGGAATTGGAGAGCGAATCAAGGAAATCAACGAGCTCAGCAATCGATTGCTCCGAATTGGTGTAGTCGCTTGCTTCAATCAACTGCATGAATTGCAAAACAGATACGCATAAATGAAGCGCAGATATATATATAACCAAAGTACATCAAAATGAATATATGAACATAAGCTCGGGCTGAATTACCTTGGAACAACAGGCTAGGTTTTCATGGAGGGTGGCGACTAAAGCGCTCGTGTCATCAAGCATGGTCGACGAATTTTTTTGTTTGTATCACTCACACTCTCGGTTTAGGCGAGCACTCTCAGTCGATTAAAGAGGGAGTCTGCACTCTGCAGCAGTCCTAGCCATTGGTGAAGGAATAGTTTTTATTTGATTTGTTTTTTAACATAGTTAATTTAGAAAAAAATGTGTATTTAAATAAAATAATTAAAGTTTGATTAAAATAATTAGAGTTGATTTGAAATAAAATAGAAAAAAAAAATGATTGAAAGTGATGGTTAGGTAAAATTATGTGAGTGGATGAATAGTGGATTAAAGTTGATCTGAAGTGTAAGATTGATATTATTTAATTATATTGATAATACTGAGGGTAGTTGGATCGAGTTAAAGTTGAATTAAATTTCAGTCTTGATTTATTTTTTTTGGGTTGAATTGATAAACAATCATCCCCTCATATGTTAGACGGTGTTTTAAATATCGTACCGATATTCATGTCGGACGAGACAACGGTACGCGGTTCAATCAGTTTTACCGTCTATTTGACCCGTTTCAATAAATATTTAAACAAATTATTATTATAATATAAATAATGCACAAAACTAACTTTAATAAATACTAAAATAAATTAACATCTGATAACAATGTAAACATATTAAAATTAATTGTGAAACTTTCAATTTATATAAATAAATTAGTGAAAATATATTAAAAATATTTTTGTTAAAAAATTCAATATAAACTAGTATTTTAACCGATATTTTGGACGGTACTTGCCGATAAAACTAGTATAAACTGATATTTTGGGTAAACGGTATTTAGAAGGTAACCGTACCAGCCGACCCAATGGTATTCGATATTACCGATAATACAAACAAATGTCAGAATATCAAGGAAACTCTAGATGAAGTGCAACTTTATTTTGAGAGTCGTTTCAAAACTTTTGAACTAGATGTTAACAGTTGCAGTCTTCAAGGAATACCGACCTCAATATGAGCTGAAATGAACTCTCAGTTGACAAAACTGGTGGAGGAGGATGAGATAAAAGTTGCCCTCGTGGATATGAACCCTGATAAGGCCCATGGTGCTGATTGTATGTCCCCTTCTTTCTTTCAATGTTCTTGGTCCAATGTGAAACATCATTTGTGTTTGGTTGTGACAAACTTTTTTAATCTGGTAAAATGTCTACGGCAGTTAATGATGCATTCATTTCACTAATTTCTAAAAACAAACTTGCTGTTTTTGTTGTTGATTTTAGGCCTAAAAGTCGTTGCACTGTCATTTCTAAAATTATTGCTAAAATCCTTGCCAACAGACTGAAAACTTCTCTTCCTTCTTTCATTTCCCCCCTCTCAGTCCGCTTTCATTCCAGGAAGATAAATACTTGATCATGTTATTATTGCAAATGAATGCATTCATTACATAAACAGTAAAAAGGAAGGCAAAGACAAGTTCATGGCAGTTAAATTAGACATGGCTAATAACTATAATAGAGTAGAGTGGATCTTTTTCGCTAGGGTGTGTAAGCAAATGGGTTTTAGTGATAGTTTCATAGCTTGGATAATGGCTTGTATTGGGTCCACTTCTATTTCTTTTAACATTAATGGTCAGGTGTTTGGTTCTGTTAACCCTTCTAGAGGTCTGCGGCAAGATGACTCTCTATCACCTTACCTCTTTATTCTGCTCTCTGAAGCTTTGTCTAATTCTCTGAAATAAGCTAATGTCAATGGTCTTTTGTTTGGTCATAAAATCAACAAAATTTCTACAGTGCTTACCTGTTTTTTGTTGATGATGTTATTTTGTTTTGTAAAGCTTCAGCGTCTCAAGCATCTGTTTTGATGAATTTGTTAAAAGAGTTGGTGTTGCTTCAAGTAAGACTGTATACTTGCTTAAATCCTCTGTGTATTTCTCTAAAAATACTCCTGCTGAGGCTAGGGAGGATATATGTGGCGTCTTTAAAGTGACTGTATGTGCCTCTTCTTCTAAGTATCTATGATTACCTCTTGGTATGGGAAAATCTAATAAATTGACCTTCAGGTTTGTGTGTGATAAAGTAAAATAAAGAGTGTGTAATTTGAAGAATTGCTTTTTGAGTGATGCTGGTAAAGAAAGTTTGATTAAGATTGTTCTCAATGTTCTCCTTGTTTATTTCATGGCATGCTTTGAGATTTCAATTTTTGTTTGCTCTGATATTTGCAAGGAAGTGGCTTCTTTCTGGTGGGGTAAAAAGGGGCTGCGTAATGATAGAGTTCACTAGGATTTCTCGGGGAACTGTCTAAGGGTAAAGTGGGATTAGTGTAAGAGATTCTTTTAGGAGGGGAGTGAGCTACCAAATTGGTGATGGCTCTGATATTTCAATTTGGAATTCACCTTGGGTGCCTAGTATTTCTGATTTTGAACTCCCAGTGTATGTTTGAAAGGGATAGAACTAGGCTTAATAGATTTAGTGAGTTGTTGCTAGCAAATTGTAAGGGTTGGAATAAAGAGCTAGTGAAGCAAACTTTTGATCCTTTTACTGCTTCTGAAGTTATAAAAATCCACATTATCTAGTTCAGGAAAAAAGATAGGTTAGTATGAGGTCTTGAGAAGAATGAGAATTTTTCTATAAAATCAGCCTATGAAAACTCCAGGGCTCACTTCTCAAGTAATCACCTGAAGTCATCAACATGTAAAGCAAATGACAGGCTCAGGAAGATGTGGGTTGTGACTTGAAAGTTGAACATACAACCGAAGCTGAAAACTTTCATGTGAAGACTTTTGAATGAATTTCTGAGTACAAGGGCTAATATGAAGATTAAAGGAGTCTATGATGATCCTATTTGCATGATGTGTGGAGAAAAATCAGAGAACATCAATCATCTTTTTGTGCATTACCAGAAGAGTGCCATATGCTGGAAACTGATTGGTGTTGAGTGAGAGGAGTTCAAAAATGAAAATTTTTAACTCAGTTAACTGGTAGAAACTGGTGTGCAATGGCAGAAAGCTCTCCGAGCTGATGGAAAGAATCTCCTTATCAGTGTGCCTACTTTGGAGAATTTGGAAAGCTAGAAACAACTTTGTGTTCAGAGGAGAACCATTTTCTTGAAGTTGAAGTGGTGGCTCGAGCTAAAAGGGATTGGTTCGAGATGCGCTTGGATGATGGAGTTGTCCTAAACATTTGGTTGATCACTCACATATTTCTGACTCTATTTATGGAAAAGATTTTTCCAAGAGGGCAGGACTTGTCTGTCTTCAAGTCAGTGCCCCGACCTCTTCATAAAGAAAAGTTGGAGCAAGACTAGTGGCAAAGGTCCAAGATGCAGTGCTTTTGGTAGAGAAAACAAGCTGCAACTGAGATAATCCTATAGAAAGCTGACCTCTTGGCTGTAAGATGGGCTCTAAATATTGCAAAGAAAAGAAAATGATTTTTTTTTTTTTTTTTGGTACATAAAAGAAAATGATATTCATTATGTTCAATTTAACATCCATTGTACATTTTGGAGTGTGAATAAATTGGGTTTTTATTGGGAAAAAAAACAATATATGTAAACTAACCATGTTGAATCTTTTACAAACTACAAACAAATAACAAGCTGAAAAAGTGAAGGTTAATACATTTTCTCAAATTGGCAACCAAAAAAAAAATCCGCGTGAGTGACTTTAATTAGTTTTTAGCCACACGCCTGAGTTACTTCTCTGACACCACCACCACCACCGCCGCCAAAAGGCATAAACGCCAGCACCATAAGCAGCGCCAGAATGAAAATGGGCACCGAAAGCAGCATCAGCGGAGGCGGCGGCAACGGCGGCAGCACTAGCGGCAGTATGATCAGCGATACCGTCAGGCAGACGAGCAGAAGCAGCGACTCGTTAGTGAAATAACGGAACATCTTCTTGCCGTGCCCTTGCGAAAGCGACCGCGTATAATCCAATTTCCTCATCTCCAAATACGACACGCCGCTCGTCGTCTTTCTCGGACGAGGCGGGTAACCGTTCGATTTCCGGAAGTTCGTTGCGCCGTTGTTCGGAAACAACCGTGATTTCGATCCCGGTTGCTCTATTATCATCTCAATATTTATTTTATATATTTTTGGATCAAATGGCTAAAGTAGTAAACACAGATCTTACTGATAAAATCTGATAAAATTGAGCTCCACAAAGGCAACAACAAGATTGCTCCTTTTTTTTTCTGCTAAAAAATCTGATAAAAATTCCAAAAAATGAAGCAAAGATAACAAGAAATAAGTTGGGGTGCTATGAACTATGAAGCTGTGGGTGAAGAGACTTGAAGAGAGCAAAAAAGGAGAACAAGATTTGCCTATTTGGGGGAAAAGGTAATGTGAAGGACACAGTTTTATATTGTTGTAATAATATATTATTATTATTATTATTATGTATAGTTGTTTAGTCAATGAAGGGGTTTGCCTTTTCAGGGTCAGGATGATGTATGAGGTAAGAGATTGGGATGGTTTCATGTGAGTTCCATTTAATTAAAGTTTGGCTTAAATTATATTAGATTCAAGATAGATACATCATACATGTATGTATATATATGTTATTAAATAGAATAATTAATATAGATTGCACATGATTCAAAATTCAATATGAATACATCATGAATGTGTGTGTGTGTGTGAGAGAGAGAGAGAGAGAGAGAGAGAAAAGTGGAGGAGAAGAAAAGGGTGGGATTCAGTGAATATGAGCATGAGCAGACCAAGTGGGACATTGTTTCTGTGTTGACAAGCAAATTGTGAATGAATTTGTTTTATTCTTTTTCTTTTTCCCTTTTTAAGTAAAAAAATAGATGGTTGAGTGAGGATTTTTATTTTTAGTTTGAATTTGTAGGGGTTGTTTCAAATCTAAGGTTCTCCCCTCTTGGAAATTTCTTCCTATTTTCATTCTCTCTCAAAGGTGTACCATTAAAATATAAACTAGTACAGAGCCCGTGCGATACACGGGGTGCACAATTTTAAGGTTATTTATCCAGCCTTATAATTATATAAAGAATAAAAAATGTACGGGATATATATAGTACGGGAACGGTGCGAGACACGGGATATATTTATTTAGGGAATATTATATTATAAGATGCAACATTCAATAAAAGTTTTATAGTACGCAGGAAAATTATACAATAAAATAGTATCTGAAAAAAAAATCATATATTATTAAAGACCTCCTTGTACATAGATATTAAATAATTTATTAGTAAAATAGTGTATAAGTTGATTACAATAACAAAACAACATGCTCACGGGATTAGTAAAAATATTCCATAGATTGAAGATTTAATGGAATAAATATTTAAATTAATTAACTTAGATAATTCAAAAGCCTTCCAATATTGTTTTAAACTTTAATATATTACAACATGTGTATACATTAAATATATTAATATTTAAGGAACTTTAAACAGCATAATTTTTTTTTAAAAAAAAATTATTTTAGGGAACTTTAAACAGCATACTTACGTCCATAAAACATATTATATTTCAACATCATAGTTATAGTATTATTTAAGGAACTTGAAACAGCATTGTTAAATATTTACGTCCACCCACAAATTTTTTACAAGTCGAAGTTAATTAATCTCGTTTCTGTTCTATTTGTTTGTTTGTTCAATTTTTTTGACAAAACTGATATCATGGATAAAAAAATTTAATATTAAATAAATTAATTAAATAACATAAGATAATATGCTTTAGACAGATATAGGATGCGGATAATCCTCTCATACCAAACAACGCGATTTCGAAATTGACTCAGATCCAGCAATCCTATCCAATATTTCATATAAATAAATATTAAATAAAATGCTTTAAACAGAAATTAGATAAGGAATTTTGAATCTGCTTTTTTTTTATTATAAATAGCTTTACGTACATTTTCTGACTTCACCGATTATGGGATTTGTTTTGACTAAATCGATGTTATTATGGAATAAGACAAATAAATAAAGTCTTTTTTTATTTTAGTAAAGATTTTACGTACTTTTTTTTTTACTTATCGGATGTTATGGGATTTTTTTTTCTTAAGCCAAATTTTATTTTAGTAAAAAATTTAAAGAATAACTAATATATTTTTATTATCTAACCATCAATATAATCATTTAATGATGTGATCATTATCTTTTAAATGATAAATAATATTATTTTTTTAGAAAAATATTAGTTTTATATAATTAAATAAAGGTTAAGAAACATTACTCGACATATATTAATTATAATGGATATCAGTAAAATCATTGCATAAATTATTTAAGGAAAAAATCTTTAAGAACATATCTGGATAATAAATATAAATATGCAAGCATTTAATGCATATAGTAAAAAATTTACAAATAAAGTATGCATTAAATGTGTGTTGACTTTTATTGCTACTATTTTTGGTAAATATGTTGGCTTTTAATATATATATAGATTCTATAAAGTTATCGTATAGTTTTTTTATGGAGTCATCAATCACCTAATGTGTTGACACTTATTTAAATTAAGTGTATTTATTGTAGGACACGTGTCAACACACTATTTGTGAATAAGTGTGGATGGTTTCATAAATTGTGTCATCTGATGGCTTCATTGTAAAGCTGACTATTAGAACAAGAAATAAATTTTAAATACTCTTAAGTTTGTGTTCACCAATAAAATGCCAAGGTAAAA